GGACCGGCCTGGTGACCTTTCCTCGTTAGGTTTTTTTCGCAATTGGGTTTCCTCAGTGATCCTTTCAAGCTCCTTGTAGGTTCAGCACATAGCCAACCGTAAGTGGACTCCACCATATTGTAACAGGGCTGAAACTTGAGGTAGCAGGCACATATCACCCGTATCTGGAAGGAAAGGGAAAGAAGAAAGAATTAACTGAAAATAACTCAATTAATGATTACTTTTTCGCAAGTTAGGTAAGCCTACAGTTTAAGCGGCCTAAAAGAAACTGGGTGCTGAGGCGAGATAACAGACTCCGAGATGAGAGAGTATAGCAAAAAAGCAAGATGCAGATACCGCAATGGTCGGCGCGCATGGTCGCCTTAGGTTCACCTGCCTTAGGTTTTTTCGCAATTCAAGGTCGAAGCAAATTCAAAGGCTCCTATATGAAATGTACTGCTACAAAGTTCAGTCCTGGAAGACAGCGACAGGTATATTTGCAATTTCCAACGGAAATTGCTCACGTTGAATTGCTCTTCCAGCAATTTGCAATTCCAGTGTTGGAAGTTCTACATGAGAAGGCAAGTGAACGAAAAGCTGCAAAATTTAATGTCTGCGACAAATGCTATGTAATTTCCATTGCATCCTTCACAAAGCATAAAAGAGAAAGCTTTGTGAAAATGCACAGTTTCTAGAGTATCCTCATGCTACCCTTGTTTCGATCATACTCCCTCCATTGTTCGATAGAGAGATTTATAGATTAGAGTGAACATCAAATGGGAAGTCCTTTTACGCTCATAGGCGTCGATTGTAAATGTTTGGGAAAGGCGGAGGTAATACTAAAGGAGAAAGGAGCTCCGGTGAATGTTAAAACCGATTACGGGTCCTGGTGCACTCCCTAGCCCATAGGTAGTCCTAAAACTCGAACGAAGTTGTTGGATAGGAATGAATATTATACACAGAATTAGAAATGATAGTGAAGAAATAAATCTCCTTGCTCAGGATCTAACCATGGAAGGCCCGGATCTCCATGGAACTTAAAGGAGGATTGCACGGAAAGAACGAAGGTCGAAGAAGGGAGAAATCGCCTAGTGGGGAGAGCGGTGAATCTCTTGAGGGTGCGGACAGACACGCAATCGGCATCGAAAGATTTGACCTCTGAGATCTAGCATGGCTCAAAGTTGGCGAGTTCGGCGATCTCCGCCCACCGATCGTCTGATCACTCGCCGT